TCCCAACTCTACATCAAATTTTCTTGAAAATAATAAAATATGATATATATATATATATATATATATATATATATATATATATATATTAAAGTATCTTATGGCTTATTGTGAATCAAATTGGACAAGCTGTCCAATTATTCGTGGTTCGTTATTTTGTTCTTGCTGTTCTCCTATTTCTTGGAGTACCAAGAAACAACATATTGTTTCTGGTTCCTTTCCATGAGTTAGGTATCGTTTAATGATTGCAACATGTTGTGAGCTGACATGCTGGGAAGTACAAAAAGAATTGATATCATTTATATATGGGTTTTATAATTCTCATTTAACATGAGAATTACAATTTTTCTACACATCCTTCGATTTCCGTGCTGACATGGGTCCTACATATAATTTTTTCTAACACATGGGTTTCACATATTTTTTATCTCTACAACATGAGATTTCAATTCTCCTTCAACATAAGAATTATAAAACCCAATTTATATATGTATTTTCCTTTTCTAGGGTCTTCTTTCGATGATTTCCTAATTTTGTTGGTGGGTTTTTGTATATATACATAGGGGTTTGATTTTCTCATGTTAAATGAGAATTCAATTCTCATGTTGTAGAGATAAAAATCACGTGGGATTCAGGTGTTAGAAAAAATTATATGTAGGACCCATGTCAGCACGGAAATCGAAGGGTATATAGGAAAATTTGAATTATCATGTTAAATGAGAATTATAAAACCCATATACATATTACTCTTTTGTATTGATCAATTACTAATGAAATATTATTACATGTATACGGAATAAAATATCTAGTCATTATCTTTCTTTATTTTTTTGTTTGATGGGAGTAGAGAGAATTTTTGCACGTATTAGACTCTAAAGATTTGTTTGTGAGTTAGTTTTAAGAGGGAAAGAAAAGGAATGGAAGGATTTTATTAATTTCTTCCCTTGTTTATAAGTTTAAAAAAATGAGAGAAAAGATTTGAGAATTTTCACAAAATCTTCTAAAATTCTTCTTGTTTTTAAAATTAAAATTCCACTAATTTGGAAGGTTTTAACTCCCAAACAAGATAAGAAAATATTCTTCATTTTTTCTCTCTTCCTTTCTCTCCCTGTCTCTTAAATTTCTTTCATTTCCTTCTCCTACAAACTCCGAGACATATCCTAAAGATACTAATTTTCCGATGCTTGCGGATGAACCATTGAGGCATGAGCTTTAATTTGCAAAAATGCATTTATGTGTGTTGATTGTCTTGAGAATTCGTTCTGGGCCGTCCTTGTGATTGTGAAGGATCATTATAAATGTACTTTACCTCTAGTGAGCCGTCTGTTGTTGTCTCCCATCTTCTTTGGGCATTTCTCAGGTATTGAATTGCGGCCAGGTCTTTAGATCAAATCCACGCCCCTTCTAGACTTTCACATTTCAATTCAATTCATGCCCTTATTGAAAGAACAATAACTATTTACAAAAAAGAAAAAGAACAATAACCCAATAAGCCCATTTATTGCGTTGAAAGAATTTGACCTAAATAAAATAAAAAACTGTTAAACTAAAACTAATAGGATGGCCTTGCTCAATTAAAAAACAATAGAAAAAAAGTTTAAAAACCTCCTTATGATTTTTTTTTTGAATTACTTATCCCTTTATTTTATTTTTTTATCATTTATCCCATTATAATTTTTTCCATTCAAGTTTTTACTTAACACGGTTAAAAATTTGATAAATCTATTTATTTTATCCCTTATATCATTTTGTTCCTCAAACTTTGCATTTGCAAGGATTCTTAACAATACAATCAATTTTTTTGTTATGATCTAGTTTCTGAAAAAATTTGTGAAGTGCCACATGACTGGTGATAGGAACATAAAAAACAGTTGCAATAAGATTTTAAGTAAAAGATTTTTTTATTAAAAATAAAATCTTATAAAAAAAAAAGTCAAATGCCAGAAACAAACCAAGACTGTAGATTTACTTGACTAATTTATCCCATATGTCATTAAGACCAAGCCCAAGCTTGCGCTAAATGATATTATATTCTGGTTTACGACATTAAGTCCAGTGATGTGTTGAATCTTTATTTTATTTTGTAGAATTATATAGTCTGAGTACCATTTTTTTTACTCTATTGTTTTCTTCTCATTGCAACATATTTGGTCTTCTTCTTTTTCTTTTCTTTTAAGAAGGGTAAAGTTGACACATTGATTAAGTTTCTAACAATCTTAAATAATAACTTGGATAAAAAAAATCATAGTAATGTGAGTGATTAAAAATAAAAACGTAGGGGCTAAATGATTGAAAAGAAAATCATCTGAGTGTTTTTAAACTTTTCCCCAAACAATAAGTTGAGAGTAAGGATTTAGTTTTGAAATATGTTGGCAATAAAAGCTTATTAACTGTATATATTGTCAATTTTTTTTTTAAGTTTGAATTTATGTAACATCACATAGGGATGGTAAACAAATCAGAGACTTTTGACCTGACTCGTGAAGGCTTAAGTTTTATGTCTAAAATTTGATGTTGAAATCAGGTTTGGACTTAAATAAAAGCTCATTTAATAAAAAAGTCTCAGCCTCCAATTCAAAAGTTCGACCTTAGAGTCTTTTAGGCTGGCTTATTATACTAATTTTTATTTTATATTTTTTATACTACTCATAATAATCTCATTTCTCCTCAACTCATTTTACACCATTTTATTGGTTAAACAGACTTTTTAAATAATTTATTTCTATATTATGCTATTTGGATATATATTGAATTTATGAATCTTTGTGAAATTAGTAGTGTTGTTTATCATATTTTTTATTTGAATAAATTTTTATTGTCTTATTTTATTTTAAAAGGTTAAAGTCTAAATCAATCTTTTATTTTTTTGTAAATAAATCAAGTCACGTGCCAATAATTATATTTAACCGAATTAAACACAAACTTACTACCAAAGCCCCGGCTCGGCAGTTAAACCATAATTTGATACGCTACACTGAGGACTTAGAAATGAAATATATCTTGGGCAGTGCAGTTGGATGAAATCCAAAAAAAAATAAAAAATAAAAAATAAAAAATAAAAATATTTCTTTACACTAAAGGATGTGCAACTATCTCAAGCTGGTAAGAAAGTTCAGTAATTCTCTCCATATTCTGTGCCCGGCTTCAGAATGCAGAAAGCAAAAAACAAGTAAAGATAATAAAGCATAGATTAAGATTAAAGAAACCAAAAGGGCAAAAAAGCAAAAGGAGCCTCCATAAAGCAACACTTCCAGATATTATTCTGTCTTTCTTTAAGGTTTCTTGACCGCTTTTGTTTCAGAAACCAACTAGTTGTTCATGCTATCGTCTCTCTCTGATGGGTTTGCATCTTATTACCCTCAACAACAAACCAATGTTATTACTGGTCATTCAACTCATTCACTCATTCTTCATCCTCACAAGAGCTCAATCCAGCCTTTGCAGAACTTCTTGTGGTGCCATTCCCATCCAATACCCTTTTGGCATTGACGATGGCTGTGGAAGCCCATACTACCGACACATTCTGGTTTGCTCTGACTCTGGAAAGCTTGAGGTTAGAACTCCTTCTGGGAGATACCCAATTCATAACGTTAGCTATGATGATCCACACATTCTAGTCACTGATCCATTCATGTGGAGGTGTGAGGATGGTGAGAATTATCGTCCCACAAGGCCATTTAGTTTGGACACGAGCACACGTTTCAAGCTTTCTCCTCAAAATGAGTACCTCTTCTTCAATTGCAGTGAAGACAGTGTGATCATTAAGCCAAAGACCATCTTTTGTGAACGCTTCCCTGAACACTGTGATTCATCGTGTGACAGTGCTAGCTATCTCTGCAGGCACGTGCCAGGGTGCTCCTTTGCTATGAGTGGTACTTCTTGCTGCTCTTACTATCCAAAAGCCACTGAATCTTTAAGGTTGATGCTCAAGTATTGTACTAGTTATACTAGCGTTTACTGGAGAAACTTTGGCGCTCCTCAGCCTTATGATCAAGTCCCCGAATATGGGATCAGAATTGATTTTGATATCCCTGTAACCAATCGATGCCTTCAGTGCCAGGATCCATCCAAAGGAGGTGGAACTTGTGGATTTGACACGCAGACTCAGAGTTTCATGTGCCTCTGTAAGGAAGGAAATTTCACTACCCATTGTAAAGGCATGTCAAACAAATCCTTCTATTTTATCTTGTGGATGACTTTAGAAAAACAACTATTTGGCCTTTCTGCCACACCATAAATTACAATTCGGAAGGTTTGCATTTTGATATTTGTTGACAATGTAAATTAATTGCATATTATTTGTTTGGCAGATTATGATATTGCACGTCACAATAGGAGGGTCCATGTAATCGCAGGTGATACAAATAAATTTAACAAACTAACATTTACAACGATAAAGTTTTCGAAGCGGAAAATTTGGTTCATGTTTGTGTTTTTCTGTATTCGAATTTTGGCTGCAGGTACAGTTACTGGTATTTCGGCTGCAGGGGCATTTGGAATTGGAGCTGGTATTTGGTACTTGAAGAAAGTGAAAGCTAAAGCACCGGTAACATGTGGAGTTCAAAGCAACGAGAACAGAATTTTCTGAAGACGACCAAATTATGTGAACAACATAAACAATACATCTTCCTTGTTGCTTTTTTTTTGCCCTTAGCTATGAAGCTTACTAACAATTATATTTATAGCGTTGCTTCCGAATTTTCCCCCGTTTCTCGTTGACACCTTTATGTATTTAATGTTGGGTTGTATTTGATCTCAATAATTAAAAAAAAAAAAAAAAAATGCTGCAGAATGATCTTTTGCTCTTCTTTTAACAACAAGCTCTGATATAATATTGAATCTGCCAAGTTTTACAAAATAATTTTCTGCAAAGAAGTTCAATGGCTGTGATGCACTGATATTTCGGGAATCAACCAAAAAAATAAAAGAAAAAGGAAAGGGAAGGAGAGAAAGAAAGAAAGAAAGAGACAGAGATGGTAATAATGCTAGGCCAGTAGGCCATACTAACATGCTATCCCAACAAAACAACTCAAGGGACCTGCATTGAGAGTTATTGCAGGCACCATGTACGCTGGAACAGCAGTAAAAGATTGAGTAGGTGAATAATTTGGGGCACAACTTCCATACCCTGATGCTACAAAATAAGCACCATTTAGGAATAAATCCTTAGAAGACCTCCATTTCCAACTCTTCCAGTTTTCCTTCATTTCCCTCTTGGTAACCTGTTATTCAAAAGCCACACTCAATATTTGAAATCTTTGAAGAAATACTATATATATATTGGGTGGGTTGAGGAGAAAAGGGGTTACGTTTCTTTTCTACCTGTTTTGCATTTGGGTTATTTGGAGCCATAAAAAAGTTCCCTTCACTTAAAATGGTTGGGTTAGCACTGCCGCCTATAGCATACATTTTCCACTCATCGTAATTGTTGTTGACCACATGGGCATAACCAAATCTTACCCTGCATGTTCATCGACAATTCAATTTAGTATTTATTTTCATAGACTCTATGGAAATTCAATCCATAAAATCATTCTCACCTTGGCATCCTTTCTGTTAGGCCAGTAGCAAATCGGTTAAAGGCTATTGTTACTGTCATTATTTTATCTGCTGTGTAATGGTCATTGTGTCCTAGCAGCATAACCTGCAGTCACGTTAGCTCAATCAGATACCCATCATTGTTTCAAAATGAATGAAAAAGGTTACGGTATATATAAAGCATCAAAACTGGCTTGTTCTGCTTACTTTGTCATGCTGGGTAAAGTAATTGTTAGAAATGGTAATGGCAGTTGAGGCATGAATAATATCAATTAGGCCATCGAAGCAACGAGCCAAAAAGCAATGATCAATCCAAATATTTGAGGAAGAAAATATACTAATGGCATCTCCATCAGAGCCTTGACGATGGCCAACATGTTCAGGAGTACTCCTCACAAGGCCAGCCTTGCCTGGTTTACAATCATGGATGCTAATGCCATGTATAATAACATGGCTAACACCTTGTATTGTAATGCAAGGCCCATTTGCAATCTCCACTTTAGCTCCTCTCCCATCAATAGTCTTGTAGCTATTCATTATAAGCTCATTCTTGAGTGTAATAACCATGTCCTTTTTAAAAATGATCCAAAGGGGCTCTGTTTGGATTGCACCATAACGAAGTGTGCCTGGTTTTGGGTTTGCAGGGTCATCAGAGGGATCTGTGACTAGATATATTGCTCCATACTTGCCTCCAATGGCATCTTTGCCAAAGCCAATTGCACAATCAGCCAAGGCTTTGCGATTTGATGCCCAATTTGGTTTGGCCCGCCAGCAAGAGTCTATCTTATTGAGGAATGCTTTCTTAGGACTCTTGGGAATATTCTTTGAGATGGGTTGGGGAGTATGGTAGTATTTCTCTGTTGAGTAGGCATTAACCAAGTTTGAAGCAAGGTGTAGCAAGATGCATACAAGCAAGAGGAGTGGGGTTGAGGTGGCCATGTTTTTGAGGTTGAGGCAACAAAGGGAATGAGCTCATTTAATAGGTAAGAAGAAGGTTGTGCACACAATTTAGGAGCTTGACTTAGAAATATTTTTTTTGGGTTTATTTAACAAAAACGTGGCTGCACGAGCTTGGCTTGGTTGACTTGCTAATTATAATCCTAAACTATACTTGGAGATACAAAGGCTACACATCCACTTTACGATCCTTGTGTTAATAACTCGAGAATATGATGATTCAATGGGCATGGGAAGTTCAATATTTCATAATTTAATGCTTCTCAGAAATCTAATATTTGGACGGCTTTAGAGTAGAAAAAACACGTTTTGTAAAATAGTCATGGCAGGCGATTCAATATAATAAATTTACGGCTTTATTAATCTTAATCTCAGGTTGAAGAGTAGATTTTTCCGATATAATTATGGGTGATACTCACTTATAAAAAATAAAAATTGAGCTATACGAAAATTGATAGATGTTATTCTCTAACAACATTAAAATAGTTTTCCCCATAAATTTAAGCCAAAAGCCAAGTGTCCTCATTAATAGGTGGGGCCCCAACTCATTTATAAAAAATAAAAAAATAAAACATTGAGCTACACGGAAATAAAAAACAATTCACCATAGATATAATTATGGATGGAACCCACTCATTTATAAAAAAAAAAAAAATTTGAGCTAAACGAAAATTCAAGAATATATAAGAAAAAGAGCTACTCTCCAACAGTATGAGAGTAGTTTTCCCATAAATTTAAGCCAAAGCCAAGAGTCCTCATTATTGTTTGACACATCTTTTTTATACGCTAAAGTTATTTTTAAGCTAAAGTTAAAAAAAAAACTTGTAAAATAAAGCAGAAAGTTGTTTGATAATTGTATAAAGTTATTATTAGGATTCTAAAAAGAGGGAGATGAAATAATTTGTTATTAGGGTGAATTATTAGGAAAAATGATAAAATTTATAATTTTTTTTAGAGAAAAATGTTTCTGCAGTTACTGCAGATAAGTTATCTGCATTTATTCCCAAAATGACGTCGTTTTGGTATTGAAATCTTAAAAAAGTATAAATATAAAGACTATTATAACCCTGAAATAAATTAAAATTACAAAAACACCATGATTTCCGCCCAAAATGACGTCGTATTGGGCTTACTTCAGATAACTTATCTGCATTAACTGCAGAAAAAGTGAACTTTTTTTTTTAATAATAAGTGTATAATTGGAAAATAAATACGAGAACCCTAAAAAGTTGACATATAAGATAAGAGTTTTTGTAAAATTATATTTAGCTAAACTTGTGCTTATAAGGAGAAAAGAACTGAAAATAAGAGCTCCAAAACAGGCATTAAATTCAGTTCTGAATATTTAATTTTTCAATTGTTACGTTACAATTATTATGACTAAGTACTTCTTATTATTGTAATTGTTATATGCTTTGGTAAGATTGAATTCATACACTTGCAAAATATTTGAGAAAAAAATAAAAGCATTATAAGGCATTAAATATTAGGATATATAAAGAAAAGTTGACAAGTGAATAAGTCACGCTTCAAATTAAACAAAATAAATATTACATGAGGGAGATTGGTTAAAAAGAACTATAACTTTTTTTTTGAATCCTTGCGGAATAGATTAAACTTTAATATTAAAGTAACTTGTGTGATGCACAGATTAAAAGCTAATATTGTGAACGAAGTAATAAGAAACGACAATAATTATTATTTCCTGTTTCCTACAAAAAAAAGAAAGAAAAGAAACGACAATTACTCCTATCATGATAAAAGCCCATATATATATATATATGTATATATATATATATATAGGGATAGGATCTGTTTACAATTTTTTTTTTTGCATATTACACTAAGTATGACCGGTCATACTTAGTGTAGTTTGTAAGAGTTTGTAAACAAAAAAGTTTGTAAATATAACCTGCCCCATATATATATACATCCACATGCAATCCATTAAAAATAAATAGATTAAATCCTGTTTTTTTTTTTTGGAAATAAAATCCTGGTTTTTTTAAGTGATTTGTATTTACTATTTACAGTTTAAATCCTGCTGATGGCAAGTTGGCAACTTCTGCGTAGAATTTGCCTCATTGTAATATTTCATTAATTAAAGAGATATTTCATTTGCGAACTACTAATTCATTATTCACACACAGCTGTTTTGTATTATTTTTTTCCTTACTATTGAATTATTATTATTTGTATCGATCATCGTTATCAATTAATATAATAAAATAATGAATTTAATTGAAATTTGATAAAACAAATTATGCAAGGGTAGAAAATTGGCTTACAAATTTTTTTGTATAAAAATAATATTACTCGCTTGTAGATACAAATTGATTTGTTTTATTATTTTGATAATAATGATATATTATTTACTAGAGAGACAGACAGAGAGGGGATCATGATTGTCCATTAGCACCTTAGGCTTTGTTTCAGAGTTTTGAGGGGAAGGGAAGGAAGGGGATCCAAGGGGAGGGAGGAGAAGGAAGGGGAGGAAATTGGAGGGTATCCCCTTCCCTTGTTTGGGAGTCAAAAAATGGAATGGGAGTCAAAAAATGGAATGGGAGGATAATGGAAGGTCAATGAGATATTTTTACCATTTTACCCTTTTTTTAAATTAATATAATTATTATACTTTACAAATTAAATTAAATTTAAAATTTCTAACAAAATTATGTATATACTTTTCACAACACCAAAAAAGATCATATTTTAGATGAAATTTTTACGTTGCAAACGATGAAAATTTCATCACAAAATTATTTTTTTCATCGGAATAATTTTCGACGAAAAGCGACAGGATTTTTCAACCGATGAAAATTTTTACAAAAATAAATTTTCTATCGAAATTTAGTTTCCATCAAGTGTTTTAAATGAAAAAAGAATTCTGTCAAAAATTTTGACGGAACGTTTTCCGTTCAAAATTTCGATGGAAATATGTTCTGACGAAAACTTCGACAGAATTTGTTTTGTTAGAAATTTTGTGGGAAATGTTTCATTCGAAACTTTCAACAAAATTTAGATTATGTAAAGAATTTTGACAGAATATTTTTTCCGTCAAAAAATTTTACGAAAATATTTTTCGTCAAAAATTTTGACGGAAATGCGTTCCGTTGAAAATTTTGATGGAAATGTTTTTTTTTTAAAACTTAACGAAAATATTTTCTGTCGAAAATTTTCGATAGAAATGTATTTCGTTAAAATTTTCGACAGAAATTTTTTTTGCCAAAAAGATTAACGAAAATATTTCCCTCGAAAACTTTCGGTAGAATTTAAATTCTGTTAAGAATTTTGATGAAATTTTTTTTCATCAACAATTTTTGATAGAAATATGTTTCGTTGAAAATTTTGATGAAAATATTTTACGTAAAAATTTCGATGAATATAATTTTTTGTGAAATATTTTGGCAAAATTTAGATTCTGTAAAGAATTTTGACAAAAAAAATTTTCGTCTAAATTTTTTACAGAAATATTTTTAGTCACAAATTTTGATGGAAATATTTTTCGTCAAAATTTCATTGGAAATATTTTCCGTAAAAATTTTTGACGTAATTGTTTTACGTCGAAACTTTTCGATTGAAATGTGTTTCATCAAAATTTTGGACGAAAATATTTTCGACAAGAATTTAGATTCTATCAATAATTTTGACTGATTTCTTTTCCCGTACAAAATTTATGTTAGTGATTTTGGCAAAATTTGGTTCCGTCTCTAATCTTGTCTTTAGTTTCTACGGAAATATTTTGACATATATGATTTTCATCAAAAATTTCATCACTATTTTTGACGAAATATTTTTCGTCAATAAATTATGCGTTATTTGAGACTTTTCTAATAATATCGCATTTAAAAATGATTCACAATTATGTAGTTTTAACATTGTAATGCTAAGGGTACATAAATAATTTTTAATATTTTTCCCCTCAAACCTTCCAAATCGAGGGAACTTTAATTTTAAGAAGAAGGAGGGTTTTGGAGGGTTTAGTAAAAATCTCCAAACTCTTCCCCTCCTTCTTTTAAACTCACAAATAAGGGAAGGACTTACTAAAACCCTCCATTTTCTTTCCTTTCCCTCCTAAAACCAACTCCCAAACAAAGCCTTAATGGCTATATGCCTATCTTGCATAGCATGAACACTCCCTTCTCCTTGTAGTGTGATATTTAGATTCCTTTTTTTGTTTTTTTGTTTCTATAGCTTTGGGTTTGATTGTGTAGTTGGTGTAATTAGGATTTGGCCCCTTTCTTATTTTTTTAAACACCAAAATATTTCTGCAGTTACATTTACTTCCAAAACGACGTCGTTTTAAAATTGAAAGATTAAAAAATTATAATTATAAAGGCTATATAATAACCTTGAAATAAATTAAAATTACAAAAATACCATGATTTCTGCCTCAAAACAACGTCGTATCAGGCTTACTACAGACAACTTATCTGCAGTAACTACAGAAAAAACGAATTATTTTAAAAAAAATCAGAACAAGTATATAAAGAATCGAAAATATTATACTTGTACACCCTAGGATCACAACAGATTAGTCGATCCATCCAATTAAATTAACAATGTGAAAATGGATATTTACCTACATGATCTACTAGAATGGATCACTGGCAGAGCTCATCAAGTTGATAATAGAACCATATTGCATGCACAGGAGCAATAGAGAAATTTAAGGACATAAATATCACAAATTTATAATAAATTTGATTTACAACTTATTAAGCACTCTTGCAGAATTGCTCCCCCAGTTCTAAACCGCCAAGAACGTTAATGGCTTATGGCAAAGAATTAAATATACTGCCAATAAACTGATAAAACTTAAATATGCCATATTAATATAGCATTATTTTAGATACATTTCCATTAATTGTCTGTTTGTTGGAAAAACGTACTAGAAATATCGTCTTATTGCATATTAAATCTGAGACAAGAAAGAGATGATTGGTTCACTTTCTTTTAAAAAAATAAATAAATAAATTTGTACATGGAACCATCCACAGACATCATTTAATAACAATTTCAGCTAATTTCTTCAAGCTATGCATCCGTCAGCATCTAACATTAGTTAAGAAGCACATGTATGGAGCGAAAATTTTATATAATTTAATCAAACGAAATTCCAAAAATATTGTTGTTACATAGTATGTAAACTAACTTTCTGCAAAGGCTGATATATATAACTAAACGATATTGAAAAGGGGAAGATAGAAATATTTTTCGTACATAATTACAAAGAACAAGGAAGGGAAAAGTTGGAGGAAATCAACATGGTTTTCCAACAACACACTCCAGTGGACCTGCATTGAGAGTTAATGAAGGCACCAAGGATGCCGGGGCCGCGACAAAAGTTTGAGCTGGTGAATATAATGGATTACAACTTCCATATCCAGATGGCACAAAATAAGCACCATTTAAGAATTCATCCTGAAAACTCCTCCATTTCCAATAATTCCAATTTCCACTTTCCCTCTTGGTAACCTGTCATCAATACGAATAAGCCACACTCACTATAAATAAGCTGAAATCTTTGATCAATTATATATTACTATGTTTAAAAGCCTATTCATTCCTTTCTTACCTCTTTTGCAGCAGTAGCATTTGAAGCTATAAAGTAGTTCCCTTCACTAAAAATGGTAGGATCAGCACTACCACCAATGGCATACATGAGCCACCCATTATAGTAGTTGTTGACCACATGAGCATAACCAAATCTTACCCTGCATGTTAACCAAGAAATACGTAAATAAGCAACTAAAAAATTTTAAAACGACAAATAATGTAATTAACTTAATTTCTACATGAAACCGCTCTTGCCTTGGCATTCTTTCTACGAGGCCACTGGCAAAGTGATTGAACGCTACTGTTACTCTCATTATTCTATCCGCGGAATATTCATCGCTGTGTCCTAACAGCATCACCTGCAGGGGATCGGAGTACACCTGAGTCAGAAGCTCATCCTACAAATGAATGATTCTAATTAACATGTTGTGTTTTTGGATGGTGAATAATGGTTCTTACTTCGTCATGGTGGGTGAAGTAATTGTTAGAGATAGTGACAGCAGTTGATGCATGAATAACATCAATAAGACTATCAGCGGAACGAGAGAAAAAGCAATGGTCAATCCAGATATTGGAGGAAGCAAATATACAAATGGCATCTCCAGTAGAGCCTTGACGATGGCCAACATGTTCAGGAGTGCTCCTCACCATAGCAGCTTCACCTGGTTTACAATCGTGAATGCTAATTCCATGTATAATGACATGGCTAACACCTTGTATTGTAATGCAAGGTCCATTTGTAATCTCAACTTTTGCTCCCCTCCCATCAATGGTCTTGTAGCTATTCATTATAAGCTCGTTCTTGAGCGTGATAACCATGTCCTTGGCGAAAGTTATCCAAAGGGGTTGTGTTTGGATTGCACCATAACGAAGTGTGCCTGGTTTTGGGTTTACAGGGTCATCGGATGGATCAGTCACTTTGTATATGGCACCAAATTTCCCTCCAATAGAATCTTTTCCAAAGCCAATATTGCAATCAGCCAAGGCACGCCGGTTTGAAGCCCAATCTTCTTTGGTTCGCCAGCATGAGTCTATTTTATTCATGAGCACATTCTTACCACTCTTTGGGACATAGCTTGGAATGGGGTGCAGGGCGGTGTTGTATTCCTTTGTTGAATCTGCACTCATGGTTAAAGCCAAGTTAGATAGAAAACATGAAAGCACTAGAAAAGTGGTTAATGTACCCATGGCTTGTGGGTTTGAGACAAAAATAAATTGGCGGAAGGAGTTGAATAAATACCATATAGATGAGAAGAGAAGGTGGTGCACACGATTGAAGGGGTCTGAATGTTAAATTGTTTCAATGTAAATCGTCAAGATTTTTGTGTCCATTGTCCATCAACGACGTGGCTGCACGAGCTTGGGTTGGTTGACATGATAATTGTTACAGCAACTAAATCCATTCATTAATCTAATTATATGTGATGTAAGAACACAAAGACATAAATTAACATTGAATGGATTTGGTTGTGTTTCAGGGAATTACAATACTTAGTACAGCCTTAAATTAACAGAAACATGGGCACCATAAAGTAATTAAATGGACAAGTCAGCTTCTTGATAAACAAATATTTCTTCATAATTAAACAGAATGCCCGGATTTTTTCCTCAGTTTCTGTAATTATGTTCTATTACATTTTATGTACGTCAAGGGTATGAACTAAGAGCTTATGTCATGAAATAACTTTCTCAAATAATTAAATGAGTTAAAAGAAGACACATCAATAATTTTTATATTATATTTTTAATTAACGGCTTACATTTTTAATTGAATGAATTGAAATGGTTTTTATTAAAATCTCTAATTAGGCTTTGTTTATCAGGCTTTGTTTGGGAGTTTGAAGGGAACGGAAGAAAGGGAATCTAAGGGGGAGGAAAGGGAAGGAAGAGAAGAAAATTGAAGGGTATTTTCTTTCCTTGTTTGGGAGTTAAAAAAATGGTAAAGGAGAAAAATTGAAGGTTAATGAAATATTTTTTCCATTTTACCCTTTTTTTAAATTAATATAATTATTATATTTTACAAATTAAAATAAATTTAAAATTTCTAACAAAATTTACTTTTCACAACAACAAAAAAGATCATATTTTCAAACGATGAAAATTTCGTCATAAAATTATTTTTTTCGTCAAAATATTTTTGTCAGAATTTTTCAACCGATGGAAGATTTTACAAAATTAAATTTTCGACGAAATTTAGTTTCCATCAAAAGTTTTGACGAAAATGATTTCCTTCATCAAATGTTTAAACGAGAAAAAGAATTCTGTCAAAAATTTTGACGGAACGTTTTCTGTTCAAAATTTCGATGGAAATGTGTTCTGACGAAAATTTTGACAGAAATTGTTTTGTCAGAAATTTTGAGGGAAATGTTTCATTCGAAACCTTCGACGAAATTTAGATTCTGTAAAAAATTTTGACAGAATATTTTTTCCGTCAATTTTTTTTGTCGAAATATTTTCCGTCAAAAAATTATACGAAAATATTTTCTGTCAAATTTTTTTGATGTAAATGTGTTTCATTAAAAATTTCGACAGAAAACTTTTTTGCCAAAAAGTTTAATGAAAATGTTTCTTCGGCGGAATTTAAATTCTGTTAAGAATTTTGATGAAATTTTTTTTCGTCAACAATTTTCGATAAAAATGTGTTTCGTTGAAAGTTTTGATGAAAATATTTTACGTTATACATTTTTTTTTTTTGTAATACATAGAGAAAATAAACTAGGCTAAAACAAAGCGAGGGAAAGCTACCCCCTATAATCTTGAAGAAATCTATCTTTGCAACCTACAGGAGGTGTGTTAAAAAACTGAATATCTCAGTTTGCAGAAAAAGCATGCGTAGCTAACCCAATCAGCTACCCCATTCGCTTCGTCATAAATTTCGATGAATAAGTTTTTTGTGAAATATTTTGGCAAAATTTAGATTCCATAAAGAATTTTGACAAAAAAAAATTCCCGTCAAAATTTTTTACATAAATATTTTTAGTCACAAATTTTGATCGAAATTTTTTGATGGAAATGTGTTTCGTCAAAATTTTGGACGAAAATATTTTCGTTAAAAATTTCAACGGAATTTAGATTCTATCAATAATTTTGACTGAATTTTTTTTTGTACAAAATTTATGTTAGTGATTATGGTAAAATCTGGTTCCGTCTCTAATTTCGTCTTTAGTTTTGACGGAAATTTTTTGACACATGATTTTCATCAAAAATTTCATCATTACTTTTGACGAAATATTTTTCGTCAAATAATTATGTCGATATTTGAGACTTTTCTAATAATATCGCATTTAAAAATGATTCACAATTATGTAGTTTTAACATTTTAGTGCTAAGGATAAATAAGTATAAGTAGTGGGAGTGTGTATAAGAGAGTGTAGAGCTTCAAGAATCAACGACTATCTCCTCATACTAATACGAGACTTTTCAGTGTGTTTTTTCTTCACTTGCACACTTCCTTGGGAAAACTTCCTAGGAGGTTACCCATCCCAGAATTGCTCCAAGCCAAGTCAAGCACGCTTAACTATGAAGTTCTTCCGTTCTGGGCTACCGAAAAGAAGATGCATCGTTAGTATAAGTAGTACCAATTAATTCTTATAAGCTATCCCAAACTGTGCAGTCTCATACCTGCACAGTTTTTGGAATCCCTCTCTTTCGGGTATCGATTCGATTCATTCATGTAATCCCCACTGGAAGCTGCTCCTTGTCTGTGCCTCTTTGCACCGACGATCACTCCCCGCCCTCGTCAGCGCTCAGAATGTTACATGTACCTGATTGATTTAACCCCTTATTTATAGACGAGTTACTTAGTATGAGTAGGATACTCATCCATTAACAAATATTGGAGGGATCCAATATTCGATCTACCAATGATATGATAAGATTGATATCTTATTATCTCATAGGATTATTTCTTTATCTCTCTTAAGTGTCTATTATGGGCTATTAAGATACGACACATAAAATGAATCCATAACAGTAAGTAAACATATAATGCCTACTTGCATAAAAATTTTATGGAGATTGTTAGAAACATAATTGAAAATGTTTTGGTAGATTCACAACTTTAAATATATCATACCAGCACCGAATAATATAAGTTTCCATGTTAGATTTATAAAAGTGGAGAAAATTATATTTACAATTTATTTTTTTACAAATTATACTATGTACTAGGGGTAGTACATTCCAGCATTAAGTATACTACCCTTAGTACATAAGGTAATTTGTAAAAAAAAGTTTATAAATATAACTCTCCCCTATAAAAGTTACTAAAATATTTTCTGAAATTTCAATTCCCTTATGAATTAAGATATGGAGCATTAAGCATGAAACAAAATTCAACTGTTAAAACAAAGTTTATTTATTTATTCGATAAACAACGGATTACAAATTGTGCTTAACGACAATTATGTAATAGCAAGGAAAATCATATATATGCATATGAAAGACATTGCAATATTATTAAGAACACCAAGTCACCAAGTAATGCAAAGAATAAATTATAAAATATAACAGTAGCAGAACCCATCAAGTGATGATGCATGCATGCATAGCATGCCTGCTTTATTTATCATACTAATTAGCTCTTGATCCATAGAATGCTCGTCCATATCATGAACTTCTACGCATAGCTGCACATCCCATAGATGCATGAACTTCCGGTGTTGCACTTGTTGCCACATTTCCCACAATGTTTCTCGTTAGTCCGAGGATTCACGCACTTACCTTCGCAGCATATCTTTCCATAGCTGCATTTCTTTCCACACCTCCCACAGTTGAAGCCATCTGTGGACAAGTTGACACATTTGTTATTGCAGCAATCAGATCCTGCGCTACCCTTAATATGACATATCTTTGGGTATTTGTCACATGTCAGCACCAACCGGTCATGTTTCTGGGAAAGGAAGCGGCTTGTCCCATGGAGTGAAGTTGGTTCTTCACTTCCAAGAGATGATGCTGAAAGAGAAATGGCTAAAGCCATTAGCATGGCCAGAAGGAAAAGGGTGTTCGAGTACTTCATTTTTTGTGTTTGTGTTTGTGTTTGTGTATGTAGACACAGAAGATGTTAATTATGTAGTGGATATTTTGATTGACAAGATATATAAAGAAGGTAGAAGTATTTATAGAAGATGAGGTTCGTGGAATTGGCCTTATAATTTGCATAAATTAATTGCATTCATGAGCTAATATCATACGTATTGATTAGTCAATGGGGTGGTCTAAATTAGTTAGGCTTGTTGGCAACAATTTGAAAGATGAAACTTCGTACATACTATTCAGTTGAAATTAGATACAAATGAAACAACTGTACGTGCTATAATCTGATAAATGCTATAAAGGATAAAGATTGAAGTTAGTTTAATTGTAAGTTGGCAATCAGCTGAAGCCTAATTTTGTGTGAATAATAGTCTCAATCATAAACCAAAGCAGTCTTCTTGTATAATTCTACGTAAACCAAGAAACCGTTACAGATCCACCTTTAGGTTCCAGTAGCCTTAAATTTTGACAATTTGATGTTTCAGAAGGAGAATGCGAATTGGATTTCTGATTTGGCCATTTGGCAATAAAATAAATAAGCCACGTTGCCTATTTTGATTGTTATTACTTATTAGCACGAACGACTAAGCCGAAGCACGTAATTTTCATAATTTTCTTCTTTTTATCGCTAAAGGTGATCAAAATTTAATATTTTTGTTACTTTTGATATTCTCAGGATATATAGCCATTTTTAAAAACCTATTTTTCAAGGCCAAGATAAGAATACGAATGTTTGTTATAATATCTATATATGTGACGCTATTCGCAGATGGTAAATATTTATTTACAGGTGATTTTCATTGAAAAAAAAGATTAAAACGGAATCGTTGAGATTAATGTAAATAATTTTTTCAAAAATATTCAATGGTAATTTTAGGAAAATGTCTCTGTCCCTGCTTAATGAATTGCATGTAATGTAAAATACAATAGGTGGTCAAAACGGATGGGTGGTGATTTGTGTAAATGAGGTTTTCAATGATATTTAATTGTAATTTTTGGAAAATATCTAGTTATCTGGTTAATTAATACATTGTTATGTGAAATACAAATAGCAGCTAAAACATACGTAGCGATTAACGCAAATGATATTTTAATTTTAATTTTTTTTTTGTAAAATGAGATTTTCAATAATATTCAACTGTAATTTTAGGAAAATGTCAAGGTACATACTTAATCCGCCGACCACCCCTATATAATACATTAAAATCTTTACCCTTTAAAATAAGATAATTTATTTGCGTATTCTATTTCTTCCTCAAACATGTGGCTTCTTAACTGAAAATTACATGTCCTTTTTTGATTTATTTATTTTTACATTTAATACTCTCGATTCGCTGTCATATTTATTCTTTTTATCAGTTATAAAATAAAATATATTTATTTCTTATTTATCTGCTTAATCAAACATTACTTTTAATCAATATTATTTATCTACTTATTTTCTATTTTTGATTAATTAAACATCAAATTAAAATATATTCTTTTGGAATGATTTAATATTTTAATTTACTCATCCTTAAAAAGTGACATATGTTATTTTTAATTTTTCTTCTTTTAAATTTTAAAGTTATATTCTTTGTGGGATTCACCTCAATATTCCCTATTTTAAGGAATATTTATTTGGAATTACATATTTTATGTTAAAGGATTCCCAACTTCTTCTTTTAATGCGGAAGTGATTTATTACAGCAACCAATTAACACTATTTCTTATTAATAAGACATAGTTATAATATTAAAGTTATTTTTTCTTTTCCTTTAATGTCAGTCGACAGCCTTCTGAGGAGAAAAAAATAACTTTTAAAATTATAATTATATCTTATCGATAAGACATAATATTAATGGATTGCTGCAAAAAATCTCTTCTCCCATGAAAAGAGAAGTATATTTCCCTATGTTAAATGTTACAAACTAAATAATAGATGTTAAATATTTATAAAAGTTACAATAAAAAGTGTTATATATGAGAAAGGATATACTCACAATCTATTTTTATTTACAATATTTTATAATCATATCTTAACCGTTGATTTTCGCTAATCAACGGTTGTCATTTATTTGAATTAATAATTAATTAATGAGTTTGAATTGTGAAAATAATAAGCGTTGATTTGCGAAAATCAACGATTAAGATATGATTGTAAGAAGTTGTAAATGAAAATAGGTTGTAAGTATAATCTCTCTCTCTCTCTATATATATATATATATATATATATATAATATATGTATGAAAAAGTATTTCTGCTTTTAATTATCTTGCATTGACAAGAGACACGACACGACACTCCAACATATTAATTCTAAAAAATGTTAAATTTCAACACGTTAAGACACGTTTTGACATTAAATAATATTTTTAATATATATAATATAGTTTACATTTAATACTTATAGCAGCTAATAAAAAGTCATATAACCAATCAAATATTCAAATTTCATAACATAAATATAAAGCAAAAATAATTTTTCATGCCTTGTTAATTTCTCATGTCAAATTCCATAACAAAAAATATTTGATTAATAAATTAATTTTCATTTTTAGTTAAAAAGATAAAATAAAATAAATTTTGAATATGAAAAAAAAAGTTGACCGTGTGTTGGAAAATGTTGATCGCGTGTCATACGTGTATCAGAACATGTCGGTATCCGACACATATTTTTCAAAAAAAAAATTGAGTGTCGATGCTTTCTAGGCTTTTACTGCAGAAAAAAAAGTTCTCAACTACACTCACATAGAAGTGAGTGGGTCTCATTGTAAATAGAAGATAGAAAAGATTAATGTGACCCACTCACTTTTATGTGAGTGTGGCATAGAAAAATATTAAACTTAGAGGTAGGATCCTTTGACACTAGTGTCAAATTTGAAATTTGACATATCATCTGAGAGTCATTAAATCAAAAAAGATTAACGACTCTGATTTGTAAGCATGTGACACCATTGATCTTTTTTGATCTAACGGCTTTCAGATGAGGTGTCAAACTTCAAATTTGACACTGGTGTCAAAGGATTTTATCTCTTAAACTTATATATATATATATATATATATATATATATATATATATATATATATATATATATATATATATATATAGGTCAGGATCATTTTACACCAGTGTAAGTTACACTTTCAATCTTATCCGTTGATTCCATTTATATCTAACGGCTCAATTTTTTTAGAAATGTGAGCCATTGGATACAAGTGGATCAATGGTCAAGATTGAGTGTAAGACTTCTAACTCTTACATCAGTGTAAGAATATCCTGCTCCTATATATATATATATATATGGAAAAATATTTATTATTTCAAATAACATAACTTTGTATCATTTTAGATAAAATGACTTCATTTTGGTATATATTTGATAATTTTTTACATTCTCTCTCATCCGTAAAATTAGGAAGAGAGAGAAAGTGGAGGAGAGAGAAGGTAAAATATCATCAATTATACATCAAAATGGCATCATTTCATCTAAAACGATACAAAGTTGTGTCTTTTAAAATGATAAAAAAAAATTTTCATATTTATATATAGGGGAAATTGGGTGTCCAATCACTGAATATAAGGTTTTGCTCAGTCACCGCATTATTACTATGTACTTTAAGGAATATATAATTATAATGTTAAAGTTGTATTTTTTTTCTCTCTTAATAAACTTGTTAGCGGACGTATAAAGTGAAAAAAAAAAGTACAACTTTAATCGTATATCAAGTGATTGGACACCAAATGGACCAATATATATATATGTACGGATAAATATTTCTACAGCAACTTTAGATAAAGTCATTTACAACTATCATTTATAACTATATATTACGGATAGTACGTAATTATAATATTAAAATTATTTTTTCCTCTCTCTATATCATGAATTTGCGTACATTATTACAAGTTTTCTTGTGATAAGACCGAACTTCGTTGGTTTATTAAATATGTGAATTCTAGTGAGTAGTGACATTGGTCTCAAATGAAATTCGGAGATAACTGGTTGAAATTCAACCAGAGCTTTTACGTAACATCATTTGGGGAAAAAATAATCCTGTGCAATTGCATATGTATTAATTACGTCTTGAGGAACGTGCTTCCTCCTCTAGCAAACTTGGAAATCAATCATCTCGTATGAAAAAAAAAATGATATAATCATGTAAAAAAATCATAATTATATAAAAGTAAATTAATGATTATGATTTTGTAATTACTTATTATAATATTTTTTATCTCTTTTCTTTTATTATCATTGATTCACTTTTATATGATTATGATTTTTCACATAACACTACAAAAAAAACGTTGTTTAGCCACATTCAAAAATGTGGCAAACAATGATAAAAAATGTGGCTAACAAACTTTACCACATTTTGATTAAATGTGGTTAAAATAGGTGTTGCAATAATTTAGCCACATTATTTTATTCACTTTGCCACATTTTGATTGAGTGTGGTAGCCTTTTTTTAGTCACAATTATTGTTAATTTAACCACTTTATAAATGTGGTTAAATTGTATAGTTTGCCACAATAAAAAAATGTGGCTAATTATGTTTGAAATTTTTTTTAACCACATTCATGAATGTGGCTAAATATATGAATTTTTTTTAAATTTAATAATATTACATTTTTTTATTAATCTTATAAAAATAAAAAATATTAAAAATTACTTTTATCATTTAGTATGTAATTTAAAAAATAACATGATACACCCTTTAATGATGCAAATTTGCCCTGAGGTATTATGTGTACCTAATTTGATGTGTAACAAACATTTTTCATATAATAGTGAAACACTCACAACATGTTTGTATCAGAAAAAAAAACCACAACATGTGGCTTAATTGCCCTACACTGGCAGATTTTACAAGCATTTCAAATCTCACCATAAGTATCTCATGGAGGGGCAAATACCTTTCCTCTATTAGTTCAACACTCAAAGAATACCTCATTGTCTAATCCCAAAAAAGAAAATGTTCAAGCCACTGAACCAATTTTG